TCTTAAACAGGGCCACTGGGCAACTTTTAAACTTCCATCCCTTATCCTTGCTCAAGTTTTTAACATTTGAATTTCCTTTGGTATTTTCCAGGGAGCCCTAGTGCAGCAGTTGGTTAGGCACTGGGCTGCTAAACGCTCTGAAGGAAAAAGATGCACAGCCTTCAACCCGCAGGCAGCTGTGCCACTCTGCTCTGCTGGGTGGTCACTTGACTCGGAACCGACCGGATGGCAGTGGGCTTAATATTTTCTTATCAAATAAGTCTCAGGATCTGAACAGGATCAGATATAATTCAGAAAACCCGGGAGTTTGTGTGAAAGAAGGGAAGCGGAAGCAAGCAGGTGAACCGAATGGTGCACAGTGTCTCTCTGTGGTTCATTTGTTTTTAAATGGAGACCCAAACAAGGAGGGGCTCTTTAGATGTGGCTCTTTAAATAAACTAGCAAACTCATTTTTAGGCCCAAAATTTTTTCCCCCCTCATTTTTACTTAAACCACCTTTCAAAACACTCAGTTGAAGTCCTGTAGCTCAAACCCAAAGGCTGTGTGTGTATTGGCTCGGTCCTTTCCAGTCTCACCTGTACAATCTGGACAAGCTACGGAAGCTTTCTCTGCCCCCTCCCCCACCCCCATATGGCCGACCCCAATCTATAAAGTCCTCTTCAACCCACGAAACACATGCAATGATGATAAATGCAGGACGACCACAGGCCGGTGTGGGGGAAGTATACCGGAGCTTTCTGTGCCCTAGTTTCCTCAACTGTAAACAGAGATCATGTCCGGGGGGCAATCTGGAGCGACCGGCATCTTGTAAGTGCTCAGCTGCTGGTACAAGGATGGTATCAAGGGCAGAAGGGATTCTCACGTGGAATGATGGGGGCCTTAGGTGACGTCTAAAAACCCTCTCAATGCAGTGTTTTGATTGGGCGGTTAAAACTTGGGGTTAAATTCCACGGAAGATTCCTGCTTGCTGTTTTCGTTCAAGTGTTTATGCTATCTTAATAAACAGGCAGCAGAGAGCTTTACAGCCTATATTCACAGCCAACTTTTTGTGAGACATCCTCTGGGTCAATTGAAGCGAGAGTGTGGTCAATCAAGGCTGTAGGGCGGGGGTGATCCAGGGAAAGCAGGTGCTTGCCCCACAGACATGCCGTGGCCACAGGGAGGCGGCGGGCGAACTCTTCGAAGCTTCCCTGGCTTCTTTGGGTCCCTGCTCCTGCCTGAAGTAGCCTCGGTTCCCCGGGCTCCTGACTGCCCACTCGCGGCAGTCACCACACTTTGCCATGACTTATTTTCTCCATGAGGGACCTCAGGGCCAGGATCAGTGGGGGCTTGTTCCTTGCTGGGTGCCCGGAGCCCAGAATGGGGCCTATTACATGGCAGAGAAACATCTAACAGACATCTGGCAAATGTATACACACCCTTCGCTCTCGCAAGGGCACCCAGTAGGCAGCATTCCACACGCCCCACATGGGGCTACGATCAGGAGTGTGGCGGCCCGCCCTCCTGGGGAGAGAGCAGCCCTTCAGTGAAATGGTGGTCACCAGTACCTTTCCCAGCGCACGCAGAAAGGAACTAGGCGAAAAACAAAAAACAAATGTTCTCAATATGCATAAAAAAAAAAAAAAAGTTAAAGGTTGGAGGGGGGTTAAAAAAAGAGAAGGAAAAACCCACCCCCAGCGCATCTTTCATTCCAGTTTCCGGTAGCTCACTTCCTGTTATTCTGTCCAGCTGGGCAGCCTGCGGGTGGACTCAGGGGAAGTGTGTTCTCCACACTGAATGAGAAGGGGCTTTGTGACACATATGTTCAGGGAATGCACTCTAAAATACACTAAGGTCATTTTTTTTAAAGTTAAGGAAGAAGTGGGTTTAGACGATTAACTTTGAAAGTTTACGTTTCTGATAACATTGGGGTTTATTCGCGAGTGTGTACATTACTTTTGCATTTCTAAATAAGTTGACTCATAGTCACTGCTCCTGATGGAGCCCGTCACTTAATAAATCCTCAGGTTTGAAATGCTCGTTGTTATCCCTCTTACATGTACTTCCTGTCCGACAATCTTCTAACTTTGGAGTTGAACTTTCCTGGTGCATCTGAACAGAAAGCTGCCTGACTTTTGTGTCAAGTTTCCTGTGTGCTTGCACACAGCGTGTCAGAGCTCGGTGTGCGGTGGGAAGACTTGGGTTCTAATTTCTCCCCGGTCCCGGACAGAGCCATCGAATGGGCGAGGCACCAGTCTGCTGTGGCAGGGGCACTACGATGCGAAAGCCAGGCGGGCAGCTCACACCAACTAGCTGCTCGCAGGGAGTCACAACCTCGGCAAGCCTATACAGTGTGCGCGCGCGCAGTAGGGCCACGATGAGTCTGAATCGGCTTGGTGCCAGCGGGTTTGGCTTAAACCAAGGACTAGAGGGCCCATCTCCCGGCTCACAGGGATCGTGTGTGTTGTGTGTGTCGGGGAGAGTCTAATATGAAAAGAACAATTGCATTCATGCTCACGGAAGCCTAGCATCTTCCCTATTCTCAGCGTGGCTGCACAAGTCAACAGCTGCGAGAGCACAGAGATCCCACCGATGCCAGCTAACCAGAAAGAAAAGAAGAAAAGGCAACGGGCAGAGAAAGGCGGTCTCAAAATTAAGCATCCGCCCCCCTCTTTCAGGGCAATCCTTTCCCCTCAATTTTACATACCACTAAGCCCATTTTTCTATTCCTTCCCAACATCCACCTATTTTATAAAATTCGAACCAAGTCCAGTTTGCATTTCCTCTCATTCACAGATTTCATGAGGGGTCACAGCCCTGGGGCCCGTGGGGTCACAGCCTGGCCAGGGTGCACCCTTCCCAAGTGCACACCTTATCTCTGTCAGCAGAGAAGCCGGAAACAGAGCAGCACTTTCCGGTTGGGGCTCACTCCGTCCCAACCCTTCCAGCCCTGTGCTCAGCCACTCGCGGAACTCAGAGCCGAGCTCGGCAGCGTCTCAATCGATTCTTAACCGCGACAGACAAAGTCTTTAAGGTGTGACCAATTATTTCTTTCCCAGGCATGAAACTCAGGATGTTCGGACAAGGCTCCCTTGAGTCGGCATTCAGAAATTCCATTTTTTATCCCAGATCAAAGACTGTGTCAGAGAACTCGGAGGTTTAAATAATTTGCTTCTGAAATTCGGCTACCAACCCCAGGCACAATGCTCTGTGTAAATCTTGTCTGCCCAAATGTATGTAAAAAGGGGGAAAATAGGGGTGACCCTGAAAATGCTAGCGCTGCTTGACTCACAAGTTGGAATGAGGCCAACTGAAAAATTACAAGAGTAATCACCTTGACTGACTTGTTCACGCCTGTGATTAGTGAGCAATTCTTACTAATTACACTTGTTGCCCCAATGTTGTACAGCTTGTTCAGAAATCAATCTTCTACTTCAGCCCAGTGGATCACATCCCGTTTGCACCTTGTAAGGGTCTAAAACCCTGTAAGTATGTATTTGTCCCTTGGCACAGACCAATGGCTTCCATCATGTTTGCCAAAGCTTCTGCGCATGGCCAGAAAAGTATATAAGTTAGCTTAACACAGAAGACCACGTTCTGGACAGATCTGCAAACTTCTGGAGTCAGCTTGGCTGGAATTCTAACGTGCCGTCACAGTGACCCCATAGGACGGACGGGCTAGCTGTGCCCCGTGGGTTTCCATGTAGTATTAAATTAAAATGGCGCGGAGGCGGGAGGAGGAGTGGGGGAGCCAGCCCCCACTCCCTAATACTACTACTACCCACAGGCTCAGTAATGCACAATTGTACGGTTGAGCTATATGAGTATTATATTAGAGTCATTGAGAGCATGAGAGATATTACATTAATGCAGTCAGACACATTACATGGTAGCATTGCTCACCTCAGCCCAGCATGGGGGTCCACGTGGAGAGAGGGGGAAGGGAAGGAGGGCAAGGGAACAAGGGAGAGGGGGAAGAGAGGGGAGCCAGACAGAGTCAGAGAAGTCCGAGAGCCCTCTATTGCTGACCCACACCTATATATCTTTTGGGGGCATGCCAGCCCACTAATTACAGGTAGAGACATACTTCACAGGGAGGGGCTGCACTATAGGTTACACAGCAATGAGGGGGTGGTCTATAGGTCTCCATAGGAACCATTATCAGTAGGGTGCAAACTCCTCCTACAGGAGCCTGTCCATTGTCCCCAGAGGCAGGGAGCAGGCCCACCCCTGTGGAGGGATGAGACAGCAGTCTGGCAACTGATTGCCTTCAGGGGAGGGAATGCCTGCGCATCTGACCTCCCCCCACATTTCCAAGACTAACTTTGCGGGAGAAAGCCTTGTCTTTCTCCTGCGGAGTTGCTGGCAGCTTCAAACTGCTGCCCTTTCCGTACACCACCGGGGCTGCAATCAGAAAAGCCTGAAAGATTCCCGCAAATTCCCGAAGGATGAACAGCTCTACAGGAAGTTAACTGGATATTTCCATCTTACTTCTGAGTCTGACTTTGAGGTCTTTTCACCAGTAGGAGATGCCTAAGCCACTTATCCTTCTTTCCCAGCGGTTCTCCACCTGTGGGCCGTGACCCTTCTGGGGGTCGAACAACCCTTTCACAGGGGTCGCCCGATTCATCACAGTAGCAAAATGACAGTGATGAAGTAGCAACGAAAAGAATGTTATGGTCGGGGTGTCAGCACCACGTGAGGCAGTGTCTGAAAGGGTCGAGGCACGAGGAAGGGGAGAACCACTGTCATCTTTCCCAAATCTATCCTGGTTAGGGTTCATGTAGGCGTTCCCGAGTGGAGCAAATGGTTAAGCGCTGCCGAAAGATCAGTGGCACATCGGAAGACCGATGGCTTCGAGTGGACCACAGCCTGGAAAAGCCTGTGGAGTTCTACTCTGAACCCGTGGGGTCCTCGTCAGTCAGAACCGACTCCACTACAACCAGCACACAGCCAGGGCGAGGGTCTGCCCGGCAAGACTCCCGGCGTTTGTTTTTCCGGAGCAGCGCCTGGTTACAAACCTGTGATCATTTGCTGGGCGTCATAGGGCTCCATGTACCCATCGTTCTCGCCGACCCTCTCTGCATCCCTCTGGCCTTTTGTCCGCTTGGCATCATAGGGGTCAGCATAGTCTTCTAAAATGATGACCTGTGAAAGCCCCAGGGCGGAGAGTGGTTACGCATTATCACCTGCCCAATGCCAGTGGCATCACATGTCACTGGCATCTCCAGAAGTCCCAAAGAGAGGTCAACACCGCCAGCCAGTGGTGAGGGGGCTTTGTGGCACTCGAACACGTTCTTTACTCTGTTGGACAAACATCTAAATAAAGCTCTTTGGACAGGATAATTGGTTTGCCGTAGTTCACCTAACCTCGTTCCGGGATCCCCCGTGGTCCTCTCTGCCTCTCTAAGCAATGGGGCTCTTGCTGGGCTGGAGAGTGGTGGGGGTGGGCGGTGAGGAGTGGGCGTGTCTTTGACTTCAACGCACAAAGCGATGAGCCGGAGGACTACCGCATATCGCAGATGAATGGGTCTTTGAGCAAGGCAGCTCTCCTGGGTTAGCCAAGTCACCCGGGAGCTACTGGATGTCCCACTTGAGGAAATCCGTCACCTGAGGCACCCGAGGGAGTCCAAAGAAGCCCAAGGCTGCTTCCTCTCAAAGAAGTTATTAAAGAAGCGGGCGGCATCCATGAGCAAGATTGAGGGAGTCCTAGGCTCAATAATTTGTAGGCAGACTAGTTTGCATAGGCTATCCCCAGATACTGAAAGTGCCAAGGACCGCCAAGAGAACAAACAAATCTGTCTTGGGAGAAGTACAGCCAGAGGGCTCCTTAGAGGCAGGGAGGGTAAGGCTTTGCCTCAAGTACTTTGCACATGTGTTCCAGAGAGACCCAGTCCCTGGAGAAGGACATCATGCTTGGTCAGGTGGAAGGGCAGTGAAAAAGAGGCAGGCCTTCGACAAGACAGACTGCCACTGTGGCTGCAACAATGGGCTGGCATGTAAGAACGGAGCAGGATGAGGTGGTGTTTTGTTTTGTTTGACTGTACGAAGGGTCACGATGAGTCAGAACCGATGGCACCTAACACCAACAGCCCGAGAAAGGAGTCCTGGTGGGTCAGGCATTGGGTTGCTATTGGCAAGATCAATGGTTCAAACCTACCAGGTGCTCCAAGTGAGACAGATGAGGCTGTCTGTTCCCACAGAAAAGATGTACAGTCCCAGAAACCCTGTATAGGGGCTCTATGGGACAGCTCAACTTGATGGCAGTGGGCTATGGTCAGATAGAGTGTTGGTCCCTCTCTGTGCCAGACAACTCGCCGCTTCCAAACACAGGGACGTGCTAGAGAAGCAGTGTGTGTGGGCAGCCCTTGCTCTGCAGCGGCAGGGAGAGTCACACCAGGACACTATACCTGCTGCCACCCAGTCGATTCCAACTCTCAGGGGCCCCACCGGACACAACAGACCTGCGCCCGTGGGTTTCCGAGATTGTAAATCTTGACGGTAGTGGAACGCCTTCAACTTTCTCCAGCAGCATGGCTGGTGGTTTCGAACCGCTGATCTTGCGGTTAACAGTCCAACATATCATCCACCATGCCACGAGGGCTCCTCGTGGGGAGGCTAAGGAACCCTTATCCAGTCTGCTCCCCAAAAAGGAAGGAGGAGGGAACCGACTGGGCAGAGCCCAGCCCTCAGAGGCGTGGATCCAAGAACCCCTGGATGACCAGAAGTGACACCACTGAAAAGGTGCAGGCAGGCCACTGCAAAGGGCGTGGTTGCCACACACTGCCTCCATCCAGTCTTCTGGCTTGTCCACTGTGTGCACCCGGAACATCAAACCCGGCACCCGGTCCATCAAACCCGGCACCCGGTCCATCAAACCCGGCACCCGGTCCTGGGCATCCAGGCACCCGGGAGCCAGTCAGGTAGAGCAGCGACTAAGCTCCTCTCAGTGCTAGGCACAGGTAGCTGTGCTGGAAACATCATCCGTGGGAAGAATGAAGGCCGGGGGCAAGACAAAACGGATGTTCCCACGACAGGAAGCCAGTGCCTGAGCTGGAGTCTGAAACCTTGGTTTGAGTTCTCTCTGCCCCTTTCAGAGGTGATTAAATAAACCAATCCATCCGGTCGGAATGGCGGGAGTCCCTCCGCTCGTTCCTTTCCTGAACTTTCCCACGTTGGACAGCACCCAGAGAACGTCTCTTGTGTAAAAACCAGGAAACACCTTCTTCTTTCTTGATCTGCAATTTCCTTCAGGGCATTTCCTTGTCACAGTCTGTATCCCTCCAGAAGTCCTTGGGCCCCGGGCCCCTTTTCCTCCATGACTGCTCTCCACAAGTGTTCACAGAATAAATGACAGGGGGGTGGATCTTGGAGAAGCTTCTATGCCGATGGGGTGGTGGGGCTGTAATGATGGAGCTTCCCAACCAGTAAAGAGCCCAACCCATCCACTGAGATGTTGAAACCCACACTTAGTGTCTGCTATTCTTTATACTCTAAGAGGGATCCAAGTCCCATCCAATCCTAGCTCTGCAACGCGCCCTGCAACGTGCCCACATGAAAGCCAGCAACCAGTGGCTGTCCAGTAGCTGCTAACCCATGGTGACCTAGCATTTCGGTCCCTAGAGTTTTCGATGGCTGCTTTTCCAGAATCTGATTGCCAAGTGTGTCTTCCGAGGTATCTCGGAGTGAACACAAACTTCCCATCTCTCGGTTAGCGGCTCAGCTAGTAAAATGCATCGCCCAGGAAGGCCAATCCTATCTACCAGGTCAAACTGAAGAGAAGTACATCGCCATCGATAGTGCCCGTCTACACTGTGAACTATTCAAATAGTCCATGCCCGCAATGCTCCCAAGCCCGAGAAGGATTTGTCAAGATGCAGTCCGCTAAGTCACTTAGGAACCCCTGAATTGTCAGACCTTCCGAAATACAGCCTCACCTCCTCCCAGGTACAAAGCCCCCTAAGGCTGAGCGGGCTCACCATCTATACTTGCCTCCCTCGCCTTGAGTTCTTGTAGAGGTCAAGGGGTCCGAGAGAGGTTGTATGTATTCTTACCGTGTCTTGCTGCTTCAGAATCTTGCCCTTGTCCAGGTCTGGGCCCAGGGACGAAGGGGACGAGGACGCCGAGGAGGAGGAGGAGCTGCTGCTGCTGCCGCCGCCGCCGGGGTAACTGTTCTTCCCATTCTTCTCGTGGGTGTCCACCTTGATGAGCCTGTTGATGTAGGTGCTGCAGCCCGAGCTCCTGGCCGCACCCCGGTGGGGGGGCTCCTCGTCGGTAGTCCTGGAGTTCTTGCGCCCCTTGCCTGCGGCGGCCTGGATGAGCCCCTGCAGGCTGTCGCGGGACAGCCGGCTGTCCTTGGTGGGGGCGCCCCCCGCCCGGCCGCTCCCGCTCCCCACCTCGGCCGCCGAGTTCTTGCGGCCCTTGCCCGGGGTGGGCCCGG